TCTGGTGTAGAGGTGGTCGAAGATGCGCCACGCTCCGGAAGGCCTGTCGTCGAAAATTGCGATAAAATCGCTGAATTGGTCGAAAGAGACCGGCATAGTAGCAGCCGTAGCATCGGTCAAGAGCTGGGCATAAGTCATCAAAAAAATTTTATGAGCAATTAAAAATTGAATAAAAATACCGCAAGAATTTGACAACCTAATATGTATCTTTTGAAATAATTTTGATCTCTGAAAATTCCAATATTGGATATTGGAATATAAGGTTAGGCATTTTAAATTCGATTTTTGTACATACCTTTAATTTTCGTATTGCTGCTCTCGATATCATTTGGCAGTCGAATAGCTCGATTCTTTGTAAATTGTGACAAGATACTAAATGCTCTAATGTACGATCGGTGATTAATGGACAATTATCCAATTCGAGGACGGATAAACTCTCAGCTGCACAACTACCAGCCGCCAGCTGACGTATTCCATCGTCAGTGATAAGCTCACAATGCGACAAAGTCTGCACGAATACAAAAAAAAAACACGAATATAAAAGAAATATACAAAGAAAATATAATCTTCAGAAATGACGGCTCTTAAAGCGCATGCCTACCAGTTTCTCTAAGCTCGGACAACCGGTTGCCAAATGTGCCAACGTTAAATCGGTTATCTGATTGCACTCCTCCAAGTCCATACGTTCCAAGTATTTGCAATTCTTGCCCAAGGCCTGGAAACCGATATCGGTGAAATTACGACAGCCAGATGCTTCAAGCGTATTCAGCAATGGATTATTCTGTGAGAGCGCCATTAGCGAGAGATCGGAGAGTTCGACGCATTTCGAAACGCAAAGTTTTTGCAATTTAGGACAGTTGGCGGCGATCTGTCGTATCGAGGCATCGGTGACTGTCTGTGGAAAGAAAATAGAAATTTCTTGTAATTTCTCACATTGTTGTTGTATTAATATAGTGTTGTATACCTCACAGCTGTGTAAATTGAGCACCATTAGGTCGTGACAGAATTTAGCCAGGCAGGTGATGGCATTGTCATTGACTTGTTTACAACCTTTGCTGCAGAATTTGCGCAGTTTTTTGCAGCCGCGCGCCAAGGCCTCAACGCCATTCTCTGAGATTAAATGACACCATGAAATGTTGATTTCAAGTAAGTTCTGAAAAAGCGTGTAAATTAAGAGAATATTTGTCAATAAAGTGAATAATTACGGAGCTTGTGAGAATTGAGACAATATTTATTTAAGTTAGCTTACGTTAACTTATTTATTTAAATAAGAAATTATTATCATTACAATACAACTTTTAAAAATATCGAAGTAAGAGCCCAGGTCTAAGCGCTATACCAAGTTGATCAGAAAAATCTTTCAACCTTTTAATATTAGTTTTTAAACATCCACATTTTTGAGTTCTCTCTTTTTAAAAGAAGAAAACCTAGCTCTAGCTAGAAAATCTTGAAATTATCGTAGGAATCACATTAAGCTTCCTTTTGTAAGTGGTTGAGGATCCCGACTTTACCTTACGACCGGAATTTCGATTTTAATTGTTATGTTAGAGGTGCTGATTATTATTGGAGGCATTATTCATATGAAAATCTTATTTTTAGGGGAGTATGCAGATTAGGAGTGTTTAAATCCTAACATTAAAATCATTAAATTATTGATGAGTATAATCAGTACATTTCGTAAAAAACATATACTTACCATGTATCTTATTGATTATAAAAGACTTTGACAGTTTGCGTCCGACTGAATTTTTAGTCTTACAGCCTATTGGACAATGTCTAGTAAGAACTCATTCGACTACAATAAGATGAACTTTGCTAATGGCAAGTAGTTCGTTCAGTAGATCTGCTAAGTTCTACTCTAGGCTGGAAGAATCCTGTAGTCGCGCGGAGGCTGGTCATCAACCTACGCCTACTAAGCAACCGCGAGATCCATAGGTCCAGTTCTAGAACGGAATATGCAAATGGGAATTCAAGTCCCAATGTGACGTCAGTTTTCAGGGATTTCACTATGGCCTAAGAAGTTCAGCCATTTCTGCCTGAAAGACACTATAGCAGTCCAGTAGCTTAAAGCTCTCCACCGACTTCTCCTCGTCCATATCTGTATCGACAAGTAGATGCATAAGAGATACGATTATCGCCATCGCACATAAGACACATACATCATTTTCCCATTTTAGGCTACTATAAACCAATTTTAAAGTAAACACTCAAGAATATACAGCTGTTGACAGCTAATTAGAAACGCTCCTTTTTTTTTTTTTGTAAATGGCTGATGAGTATAATGACATACATTTTTAATGTACCGTAATTTATATTCCTATAAGTCTTGTTCGTTACTCTATTTACAACTAAATTCACCCTGTTTTGTAGTTGTGAAGTTAAGGGGTCGTAGGTGGGGTAGGGTTATCTTAAAAAAAAAAAAAAAAAAATTTGTGCATTTTCTGTTCCCTTATACCCTTAGCATCAATATAGAAACTCACTTTACCATTGGAAGATTTCGTAAAAGGCCCGCAAATAATAACAACGCTCGAAGTTCGGAGCGCTCGTAGTGCACACCTCAAACTTTAAACGCGTTTTTCTCAAATCACACTTTTTTAAACTGGCGGACATGATTCCGAGCGAACTACTCAACCGATTTGCTTGATTTTTTTTTAAATGTTCACAAAACGCCTAGCCATCGTCCTTACTAGACTCATAATTTTTTATTATTTATTGACAATGTTATGACAAAATKTATGTAAAAAACATGGAAAAAATTAAAAAAGAAAAACGTTAATTACTTTTTTATTTATCAACATTTTTTCATGATTCTGATAGCGATGATAACCATTCACGTATATTTTAAGAATAAATTGGATTTTTTGTTTTGTGAAATCGCGGCCGCCAGTGAGAAATCGCATCTCATTCTCCCAGCCATTTCTCCGACAGATGTCATCAAAAAATTCCGAAAAAATTTGTTTATACACTCCATGATATACCTCATGAAATGTGAAAAAAGTTCTATTGTAGCATAAAAATTTCTATGAAAAAAAATGTAAAAAAAAAACAGCCCAGCTTACCCCCCTGACCCCTTAAAGTTCTTTTAATTTTTGTACCAAATAGTGAATACGTTACGATATAGAAAGTGAATTAAGTGCGTCATCTAATTAGAAACAGTTGTTTAAAGAATTAAAATTCCTCAAGGTGTTAATTTTTATTAACAATATTACAGATTTATGGTAAGCGCGTGCTTCAAAGTGGTGGTTTAAAATATACTAAAATGTATTATTCAAGTTTTTTAATGAGAAAAAGCTGCAGATGTACATCTCCTCTACTTGGTTACATTTTTGAATTTCGTTAGTCTGGAAAGACGTATGAAGAAATTTTGAATCAGGTCAAAAAAAAAAAAATGTTTTCAATGCTCTTAAGCATATACAGAATTTTACAAATATTTCCAATTTTATACACAAAGAAAAAACTTTAAAAACTTCAACAGAAATAGACCGCTAAATTTCTACCATCGCCCGAAGCGACCCAAAAAAAGAACTCCACTGACATTCTACATAAAATTCAAGATGAATATAATGTCCAAATATCCAAAAAAATTCAATTGCCCGGCGTTTAGTTGAATTTGGATATAACGGCAGAGCAGCATGCAGGAAACCACTTCTGACTAAAATTCATAGGAAACGGCGCGTAGACTTTTCAACGCTTATTGATCTTGTACAACAAATAAATGGAAGTATGTTGTTTGGGGCGATGTAACCAAAATAAATAGCATAGATCCTAATGGTCGAAGGTATGTTTGCCGACCAATCTATCAAGAATTTGATCCTTGCTATTCTTCACGCGTAATGAAGCATGGTGATGGATCAATCATGGTGCGGGAATGTTTTTCCTGGAATGTCGCAGGTTCGCTCCATACGATTGATGTAATTTTAAAAAAGGAGAAATACGACGACATTCTAAAAAATGTCATTCTGCCATGGACTAAGAAGAAATTTGCCCGTTATATGGATTTTCCAACAAAATAACAGTCCCAAGCATACAGAAAAGTTGACAAAAAAAAGATTTTTGTTGAAAATTCTATGAATGTTTAGGAGTGGCCAGAAGAGAACACTTCTGGGTTGATGTCAAAAAACCTGTAAGTATCAAAAATATCACAAATACGGATGTCCTTTTTGATAAAATCAGGATGGCAAAATGTTTTACTATTAGAGTCTAAGTTTGACGTAAGTTTCAATAAATTGAGTGAAAAAACAGTAAAAATAAGTTATTTATTGGAAAATAACATCATTTACTTCAAACTAAGTAGCGTTTCTAATTAGCTGTCAACAGCTGTATATATCGATATACTACTGTGATCAAATTTAAAGGTGAATTTTTAATTTATACTTCGTGTGTCAAAACATTCCACGTTCAATTTCGAAACGGTCAAGTCAGAACAACTCCACACATAATTCCCGGTCACTAGAGACGTGAGCAACGAAACCACGAAGACTTCAAATGGCAAGAGAAATGACATAAACGAAGCAGAGCCGAACATATATGCGTTACTAGGAGTATACTGTTCACTACAAGTGATAATACATGATGATTTGAAATATGGATAGCGTTCCTACGATAGTTTCCCTGTACGCCCGACGGCCGAGTCTACGTAAGCGGTACACACCTGCTTTTATGCAGTCAAGGAGTCGGCTGGCTTATCCATGGAAATTATTTCAGAAATAGTATCAGTCGCTACAGCAACAATATCGCCTTTCTCATTCAGTAGTATATTTTTTTTGTTATAGCAGTAGACAACATTTCCTCAACTAATTTCGAGAAATAAGTTGTCATCGAGGTCAGCCAACGGTAAGCCCAGGAAGCGCGCTGCCTCGACGGTGTCGGACTATATGGTGAGGGGTGTCAAATGTATAAGATTCCTGGGTATGCAATGCTCGTCATCTATAAAGGACTCAAGGTCGTCGTCTATAAAGGAAATTCCCACGACTGCCGGTTCTACGTTACCATAGTTGACCAGGTTTTTATTCGGCCAAGAGCTATCTTTTCGGATTCGGGAACCTTGTTTGGATCGACTGCCGTGAGAACGGTTACTTCAGTAGTTTCGATAGTTCGATATTTTTTCTGCGTACATTATACGAAAAAGCGACATCTCGACAAGTTTTTCTAGTTTTGTACTTAAGTATATATTGGTTGCTTCGACCAAAGCGAAAGCGGACTAATACTTGAAATCGATTGAGTTGCGATTTTACAACGACTTGTATCGATTTTCCGTTATGTTAAGTAATATTAGCATTATTAATCGTACTTTCCTGGGAAGATCCCTTTACTCATCATATTTATTTTTTTCCAAAATATCACATCCAAAAGTATACAATGACTCGGCTAAATCGCTCCAGCAAGCACCAAAACAGCATAACGGAAATCAGCTGTTTTCACACTTTTTGGCCAGATAAACCAGAAAATGAATGACAGGGAAAGAGAGCGTGACAATTAAATGCAATATGAGGAAATTGCCGACCAGCGGCAACACAATCGCATATAAATGCAGTAAAGTCCATTATTGATCCCAACAAATGCATGTCTATTTCACTACAAACCAGTGTGTATTTACAAGACACGCGCGGATATCGAAAAACCAATTGAGCTGGCCGCCAATAACGCTGCCAGCTATACACTAACCCTCTACCCCACGCCAACCGCATTTTTGTTGTCACCATGAGTGGGAGCATTGGAATGCATTTGTTTAGTTGTTTGATGGTTAGGCGCGAAGAGTGGTCGCTTAGCCTGTTGGCCTTGAACACTCCGCAGCCAACGAAGGGAAAGTAGGTGAAAGCGACAGTGGACGAAGCGCAGAGGATGATGGCCACGCAGCGGGATGACAACTATACACATATACCTATGTATATATTATAATAATAACAACAATAACAATAACAAAATATCCAAGAATAGCAACAACTGTTGATATGCAAGGCAGTTATTCACAATAGAAAGTATTTACAAAAGAAAAAGTAGGCGGAAAATGATATAAAAGGAAGCACACAAAAAAGGAATACGGACTATCCATACAGCATATACAACCATACATACATAGAAGAAATGAATGCACACAGTAATATTTATAAATGTTTGTAGGTATGTATGCTGCCATGAATGTGAAAATCTTTT